TCCATGGCATCGAGATTAGCAGAGGTGAACAAACTGAAGTCATTGCCCATACTGCTCGAGGTATTGGTCCCGGAGAAGGGAGAACTCTCGAAGAGAGGGGGGAAGTCATCGCTGCGAGCCTGCGCAGGAGGATCGTTGAAGTTGAAGGGAATATGATCCGGCCACGCCGAGGGTTCACAGGGCGAGGCGCTGGGACCCGAGACGGGAGTGGGGAAATCAGTAGGCCGGGAACCGGGAGTAGATGCACCCACACTCGGAGTACGAGGTGTGGCCTGTAGGGATGAGCCACGCTTGCTGCCGCCACGGGCGTTGTTCTTGGAACGAACATAGACCCAGCCGTGGGCTTTCTCCATGTGCTGCTTGCAATTGCTCTCTCGCTTGGAGGCATATGTGCAAGGCTGGAAGCTGCACTTGAACAGAGCAGGGGTGTCCGAGTGCTTGTCGTTCATGTGGCGGTCGCGCTCCTTCTCGGTGGGCCACCCAAGCGATTCATACTTGCAACCGGCAAAGGCACATTTCCATGGACGAGAATGGGTTTTCTCGTGCTTGGTCAAATCACAAGGACGCTTGAAGACCTTGTCGCAGTCCTTGCATTTCTGGTTGATATCCATGGGAGGCGCATTTTTCTTGCGACGGGCCATGGAGCGCTGAACACCCTCATCGGTCGACTGGTCGAAGCTGATGGTACGCTTGAAGACGTACGGACTGTCCGGGTTGATCGGCTTTCCTGTGCGCATGGAGATGGGCTTTCCGTTCTGGGTCACGATTATCTCGGCGGGCTTGCCATTGATCGATAGACCACCTTCGAGGGCGGCTTCGGAGACACTACATCGGCGGTTAGTATTCATTCCAAGTTGCTGGATATAGATCGGATGAAACATACATCGAAATCTTCTTTTTCTCTTCCCCCTGGGCGGCCTGCACCCGGTCTTGGGTGGCGCGAATCATTGCGGCGTAGCGGCGAACCTGGGAAACGAGATCGACAAAATATCCGTTAGTGTATGGGCGATCGGTTGGTAATCGCTGGTCGCGGTCGTTCAGGTGCGAGGCCGACGTATGCAAGCACTGGATCGTAAACTCGGCGAAGTTGAGATAGGCATGTCGAGAGGAAGTCGACTTCTATCGGCGCAAAAGAAAAATATATGAGCCAAAGAGGAGTCCTCGAGGGCGTGAATATCAGACAACAGAGAGTGGGTACTTACCGGTGCGAGCCACAGAAGGGTCTTTTCGAGATCCCGCAGGCAGACGATCTGCTTTTTGACAATGCGAGAGGGGACACTCCGAGCCAGAGCATGGAAGGGTTGGAGTTTGGGCTCCTTGAGAATGGGGATCAATACGAATTTCTCAATCGACTTGCAGGCAGCAAGACCCAATTGTCTTCTGGGGGTTGACCCGCTTTCAAAAGACTCGGCGGTTGTTGTGATTGCTGAGTGATCGTGAATGTCCTCATTCACTAAGAGATTGGATGTTAGATAATAGTCCGACAACAACAATAAAGATTCATTGATTCCATCGATTTCACAATCTTTGGCCAACTTACTCGCTTTGCTCAGGGGAGACATGCTCTCCACACTACTGATTGATGAACCAAGCCCGCTATCCGAGTCATGTGCCTCTTCCGAGGAAACCTTTTTGTCTTGCGGGGAGGACTGGTTCTTGCCATCGCCATTTGACGGCTTTTTAGTAGCAGTGTCATTTACACCAGCTGCGGAGTTAACACGCGAGCTGGTAGGGTCGGCCTTGGATTTGGTCGAGGGCTTCTCCTCCGGGGATTCTGCGAGGGTCAGGCGGTCCAAGATGGAAGCCATGCGCTGATCACTCGTAGTAATGGCGTCCAGCGAGGTGGGAGCACGACGAGGCAAAGAGCGGATGCTCAGGACAGGGTCTTGGTCACTGGATGGTGGACTGGTGGGAGTGTTAAACGTCTCTCCTTTCCGTAGCGGCATCTTGGAAGGACCAGAGGGGGACTCGGTCTGGAGAGAAGGAAGGTTGGAGTTTAAGTTGGGCCGGCGACGCGGGTGCATCCGGCCAGAGTCAACTTGAGAAGCAGTCATGGTGGGCTAGTTCTGGATGGGGGCCAGCGTTAGCACGCAGGCAGCAAGCAGGGTGTGGAACAAGATGTGTCCCGATGATTGGATATGATTGGGTCTCTATTGCGGTGACTCACCGATGGATTTGGCGTTCCAGCTGATTCGAGAAGTGACTTGCGGTCGAGTCAGAGGCTAACGAGTCAATCCAGAGTTGAGGCTCCGCCGTGGGCGTTGTATAAAAGAGGCAGTGGAGGGCCTTTTCAACGTTGGAAATGAATCGACAGGATGGAGGGTCTCAAACGAGAAGAGTCTCAAGAGTCTCAAGAGAGAAAAAGGGTCGATGAGAAGATCGGACAACACGGCGCTCACGGCAGACGAAGGATTCGATGCCGGATGGACCGGTATTGCGCTCAGGGCGAATCTCGATTGCGCCCGTTTGAGAGTGGACCTGGAGATGAACCGGGGCAAAAATGAGGAATGCAAAACGAAGCGAAGCAACGGGCGATAGCAACAATATGGGTATAAATCGATAGCGTACGGATGATGAACAAGAATCAGAATGGAGAACAGACCAGACAACTGGAGATGAGAAAGATGACTGCGACCGCGTTGGACGATGTCTGCCTGATAGACGAAGGCCCGCTAGTCTCGATTGGGCAGAGGCGGGGCGAGGGCGAAGACGCCGCTTGATTGGGCGGTGAGAGACGAGTGGTACCAAATAGTACACATAAATACACTCTTCACTACTACCCGCTCGGCCCCCGCGGGGTCCCCTTACCCTTACCATACTAGTATCCCGTCATCTATTCCAAAATTGGAACATCGGAACAAAGACCAAGTTTCCGTGAGCCGCATCGCCCGTCCTCCGTAGTCCACTCCTGGACCCCTGGGTTAAAAAAAAAAAAGTCACAAGTCAGAAACCTCCGAAAAGTCACTGCCTATCGTCGTTGTCGTCAGCACGGGAAAGAAATGCCGCTTGAAATATTCAGTTACCTACACCTAGGTAACCATTCTCGAGCGATCCTAGAACCATCCCCCCCAGCAGGTAGCCAGATTTTTCTGGCCCTCCCTGCACAGCGTACGAGACTCCGTACTCGTGTACTCTCAAGTCAGCCTTGCCGCCCCAACATTCAGCGATCCGGTCCACATTTTCCACATTTCCGCACCTCGCAGTGGAACTGGAACATTCCCACCTTCCACATTCTAACGGGGTCTTGGCACGTGATTTTTGAGGCTCCCTACTCGTATGAAAGCCGACCAGTTCGTAAGTTCGTATTCGATTCCATTTCACAGGCTAGTGAGTTGCTCGTCCCGTCGGCAGTCTGGGTTGCTCCGTGTCCGTTGGAACTGCAGATCCCTGGGATGTGCCCACTCGATACTTGCCAAGTGGCATGCTCCGCCACCGTTGTGAGGCTTAGTCCCCCCCCCCCCGACCGGGACTGCGTACCTCTGCTGCCTAGAAGTGATGATACTTGCCAAGACATGCACCTTCAAAACAAACCTAAAAAAACATAGCCCATGGAATCTAGACAATTACGGAGTGATGAAGCATGGTCAGCTCAGGTATGTGAATAGGGCAAAGATCAGTGGTAAATCAGTAGTATGCAGTACTAGTACTCGTACTAGGTATACGAGTACCGCGACTGCAGCCCGCATATACCCATTGACGGCCGTTCCTGCTGTGTTGGTGCCTTGCAGCTCGTTCCTTCCTCGGGAATACTTTGCCTAGGAAAATAAACAGTAAACAACTTGGACTTGAACTATCTCTGAGCTCTCTCCAACTCCAAGCCTTCCTCTTATCACCCACAGTGCATGGGACCCTGGGCATCGACAGATTCCGTCTTTTCCACGCCGCTCTATTCATTGTCCGGTGACAACGCAGACAACTGTTTGGAAAGTGGCCTCGATATACAACAGAAGATCCAGCTCACCCGTGACCCCGTCGTGAGATATGTGTGGTCATCGAGGCCCATGGAGAGTGGTAATGGTTCACGTGCAAGCCCCCAAATCCGCGTGAGTTGAATATGGTTATCCACCCAGCCTTGCAGCATAGAGGGCAGACTCTCCAAGTCTGACGATACGGAAAATGACTGACTCTGAACTTCCCGGTGTGGAGGATAATATCTCGAACTTTTGAGTCCCGGTCAGAGTCACGGTACTGATCGTCATATCTGGTAGTGCAAGTGCATGGATTAGGTCCGACAGTTCGAACCCTTTCCTGTCAATGCGCTGGCGTACAGTCGGGTGCGAAAAAGCCCCAGTGCCAAGACACTAGCTCGCGAATGTATTTCATCTTCGAAGCCTCTCATCACATAATTGCAGTCCTTAATTTACTGACTCCAAAATTTTGGTCAGTCAATTATTAACAGCAAAATAAATTAACGAATATTTATTCTATTCTTGAAAGGTTAACGTATAGGATAGATCGAAGTCAGTTTTACTACTCTCTTTATATTGGCTCGGCTTGGCCTTGGCTATTTGATTCTGTCTCTTCTTCAGCTTGAACTTCTTGAGTCTTCTGCTGGCCGGGACTCTAAAATACGAAACGATTAAATGAGGTTCTTACGACTACATTACTTTCATTAACTTGTAATTGGAGCTTCGGAAGCTCAGGCTCTCTAGAGTAATACTATAATTATAGTACCGGAGACAATAGTATTGTCCAACCTTGTTCCAGCTCGACGTAAAGGACTAATTATAGTCATTATAGTTACTAGTAGTCTCCAGGGCTGAGTATCTTCCGCCCCTGGGCTCTGGCCCTATGTCATTATTTGGCTATACCGAAACTATCAGGATTCACAATGTGGCGGTGCGTCAATCCAACGTGGGGTCCAAAAGAACCCTTTAATATAGCCCCTCGTAACCTAACTGCGCTAGATTCTGTAAATCCATATCCAAGATAGCACCTTATACTTATAACTATACTCAACTTCACCACTCTGATTTCCATTAAGACCCTTCCCTTCCACTATGTCCTCCTTGTCAGTACTAACCATCACCCTATTCCTCCCATCCATCCATCCATCCACCTCACCTCACCCAATCCAACCTAATCTGTGAATTATAAACTGAATTTTAAAACGCTATTCTTCCCGCCCTTCGGCACCCTAGTCCTCTACTGGTTCCTAGGACCAACAATCTACACCCAAAGTGGACGATATATTCACAACCGAAACATTTCCAAATTCACAAACCCCGTCTTCACTCTTCAAATCCTCTACTCAGTCTATCAAATCCACCTCGTGGCCCGAGAATTCCGACTCCAAGATCCGGCCCTGTGGTATGTGACTGCTTTCTGGAAGTCTTACTGGGCTGGCCAGGACCTGGCTGCTATTTTCATGGGTGTTGGGTCATGGTTTTGGTTGCTGAATTTAGGTCGTGGGCCGATTGTATGTCTCTTCTAGATTTTTGTTTTCGTTTTCTTTCTGGCTCTAGGGTGTTTGGGGTAGATTTTCTGGGCTTGCTGGTTCAAGTTTCACGTTGTTATATCTGATCGGACCTGGTCTGGTCTGATCTTGATGCAACTAAGCTAAAGCTGGAGTTGAAGCTAATACTATAACTAAAACTACTCTAACTAACGTATATGATACTCCAGGGCCCTGAGGAACCATTCTTCTTTTATTTAGTAGCACCTATCCGACACGATCCCTCAAAGTCACCCCACACACCCTTATGGACTGAATGGATCGTGAAGAATGTGTGGGGGTTATTCAATGTCATTTGTTTAGCGTGAGTATCTCCCCTCCCCTCCCCTCCCCTCCCCTCCCCTCCCTTCCCCTCCCCTTCCCTCCTCTCCTCTCCTCTCCTCTCATCTTCTTGTCCGCGTCAGAGCCTTTCATCTTTTCCCTTTCCCCCTTCTTTCTTTCTTTCTTTCCTCCTTTCGGCTCGAGCTCAAGCAACATCCAGATCAAACCTACTAACCGTATTCTTATCTCTTCTCTCCTTTATTCAGGTCATTCCTCTTCCTTCCAGTTATATTCCAAACCTCTTGTCGATACCAGGAAGGTATTTCGCTCATCCCGAAGTGGACTGATACGTATAAGAATGATCAGTGTAGGGAAAGGAAAATTTGGCTTTGGGCTATAGGGTTCTTTTATGCTGCATTTCACATTTCTGTTATCGTTAAGATTATTGTTGCTTATTGGCCTAGGAAAGATCAGAGGAACTTAAAGGATAATGTGATGTTTGAGATGGGGTGTGAGAAGGATGTAAATGAGAAGGGAGAGAAAGAACTTGAATCAATCATGAATCATTAATGACTCAGACCTTGGGAATCATGGGGCGATTGTGCGTTGAAGTTCATGTTTGAGGTCGAGGTCGAGGTCGAGGTCGAGGTTTCCAAGACTTGATTTGAGATTTTGAGGGTGAGGTTCAAGTTTATTATTATATTAACTACCCTAGAGTAGGTATTATGTAGATATTAGGTACTAGTACTGCAAACCAAATATCATAGTGAATATATTTTCGAACTTTGAGAAAAGATATTATAATAAAAGCACTATGAAGAGCAATGAAGAAGGCACCAATAATGAAATGGGTATCGAAAAGCCCATATTCATAAACAAGCCTACCACCCATTCTATTTCAATGAAACATTATAGGACATTCACTCACTTACTAACTCATACGTAACAAACTAAACAATAGCAGTCTGGTTATAATCTAAATCATAAGCATGGGGATGTTGAAGACAATACTTCAGTACAAGCGCAGTAGCCATAACGCCATTCGCAACGAGGTATTCGTAGAAATTTAGCAAACGCTGCGTAAGCTGCGTAGTACGCTTACGACCCTGCGCATCCCGGTTACTGGACCAGACAAGTTCACCCAGGGCCGAGGCATGGGGCCAGAATAAGCTGGAGACTGTTACGCCGTCGACTTGTTTGGACCAGAGCGGGGCTTCGGCGCCTAGGATATACTTTTCTTGGGACTCGGTGAGGTTGGTTGTGAAGTCTTAATCATAGATACGTTGCCAGGTCTTATACGGGGCGCACTAGGGGCCGCCAGCACCGCCGTAGTTGATATTCGGTATGTTGTGGTCTGAGTATAACATTACGTTGTATCTAGGGTCATTTATGACGAAACCAATCTTACTGCAGTCTAGGTCTAGAAAATCGGAGGAAGAGATAATCATATTATAGCCGTAGGCTGTGGAATTATTGATGTTATCGAGACCGTTGTTCCAGCTTTGCAGGATGATATCCTTCGGGACACCGCGGGTAGCTTCCGTAGAGAGGAAGATATGTTCCCATATCATAATGCAGTGGCTCATGCCTACTTTGCGGAAGATAGGTACTGCCTTGTCAACCTAGACCTGGGCTAGATCGTTGTAAGTTTGAATGACCAAGTTTCTAAAGTCAAGAAATTGAGGGCTGCAATTATATATTGAGGCTTTGAAACCCCCCCTTGTACGGCTGCACATAGTCAAGACGGTAATATTACTGTCAATTACCGATTGAACCTTTCTTATGTATGACTTTTATTGGGCCTCTTGATTAAATTTTTGAGCTAGTGTCCGGGCAGTGGGGCCTGGGAGAACAAAAGCGATAAACAGGGCGGAAGCTGTTTTCGCACGACTGTACCAGACGAGATATGGCGGAGGCCACTTGAGAAGACGCCATCATTTTAACCGGCTTCGAATACAATCCTATACCGGCCTCGGGCTAAGCACTGCTGCTCCTTCCAATGTTGCGATCCATCGCCACTGGTAACTTTCTCAAGTCAACTCTTACGCGAATCCTTCGCACCAAATCCAAGCTGCGAGAATCTATGTGTTGGTCTGAGAAGCTGCGGACGCCTGGGTGCCATGTTCCATCGGAAAAATAGCACAAATGTGTCCCATGGCAATAATGGGGAGCACCCCTTCTCCGAGATACAGTTGGTATACCTATAGAACACCGGACAGCCAACAGAGAAAGTTTCAAAGCCCTCATTCTGCACTATTCAATTAGGAACTACGTTTCTCTGCCAACTATTTTTCAAAATTCAGGAGGGGTCATACATTGGCTACTAAACTGAGGAATCACCAGGGTCTCTCCTAACAGGCAGTACAGTGTCTGTGGCTGCTGGGCATATACCCATACCCATAATCTTACTTATCCGAAAACAGGTTGCAGTGAAACCATGACTCTGCATCTCCAAAAACTCCAAGAGATAATGTCATCTTGAATTGGAGATTTTCAAGTTCATTCCAAGGTTTGCAACTTAAATTTGACTACTACCTAGATACTAGTACCAATATATATCTGCGTCTCGGCCCCATGACTGAACCGTAGTACTAGTAGTAGACTAATCAAGACTGGATGCCAGGATTTTTATTTACAAACTTGAAGGCTGGCAATCAACGAACTTACATGAAGATATATAGTACATGGGCATCGCCATTAGTCCTACTAGTACTAGTAGTGCGACTGCGGAAGCTCAGGGCAGTACTCCGTCGCGGATCACAGGCCGAGCACCAATGGCATCACCGGAGCAGCCGCATCACCCTGATCTGATGTATACTACTAGTGCTAGTACACTACTAGTAATAATATGGTCAGATTTTGGTGGTTTTGAGGATGATAAAGTAGAATAAACTCATCTGTCATTCATTCCACAGTTTATGTAACCATCAGAATATGGATACTACTACTCGTAGTGCACGATGGCTGGACCTCGGCTCTCCGGGAACTGGCAGAACGCCGAAGGCGGGCGGTGCCGAGTGTTGACTGGACTTCCCCCGGATTCTACTCCGGCGCATTACCTTCTCCCCCGCGATCCTCTTTGCTTGCGAGCTCTCTTGACTATCCGATGAGCTCGGTGGCCCGGTGAACACTGAATAACCACTTGTTATCAATCACCTCTCTCACCTCGATCTCTCCGCAGTTCCCCGACGGCAATTGGAAGCGGAAGTCCTTCCCCCCCCCGCGCTCGTTATGGACTTCGAGAACTACGGGCAAAGCTCCCAGCAGCCCAAGCAGCGTCGGAAGAGAGTCGCCAAACGAAGGCAACGCAATAAGCCCCCGGTTGCTGCGCGCCTGGCGCTGGATCCTCAGCTGCGCGGCAATGTCGGCGTCTTGTCCGAGGATCTGGCGACCGACCTCTTCCCCCAACAAGCTATTCAGGGTGAGTGATTCCGACCTCGGTAAATGAGCCGATAGATTCGTCAATGGACCTGGAATTGACTCAATTTGTCTTTTAACTGATAGGCGCCGCGACCAACGATGGAATCTTGTATGTCGCCGTTTCCCCGCATTCCGCAACCTCATCCGCGGTGGAAGATCAGGCCTGGACCATCCTGCCGGTGCAAATCCAGTCATCCGAGAGAACACACGCCCCGATTTCGCATTCGACTGTACTATTCCCCGAATCCGCAGATTCTCTTCAACCATTCCTACAGGCCCTTGGCAAACTGGATTCATCCCGGAACTCACTGCAGACGCACCGGGCCGTGGAGATCCGCATCCTCGACGTCGCCCCCTTGCATCTCGATACAATCTTCGTAACGGTCGAGCGCCATTTACTCCGCAATCACGATGACGTACAAAACAAATTTGGCGGTGGTTTTTCCGGCAACGTTCATGGACCCGATGGGGTTTGGCCGAAAGGAAAGATCGCCGATACAAAGAAGCTCTCCAAGAAGGCCGCGGCTGATGCGGAGATGCGACTAACTGCGGCTGTACGAGAGGCATTGGCGGCGCAACGCATTGTTCATGTCGGCGATGTATTGCCTCTCCCTCTCCCCCCTCACCCCATCACCTATGCTCCCGCCCCGCCTGCGAGGATCTCATTCTGTGAGCCGGTATCACAGGGTCTTTTGATGCCAACGACCAAGGTTGTTCTTGTGCAAGCTCGTCCTCAAGGTCATCGGGCACCGCAAGCCCTCCCACCGCGATCTGCTCTTCTCAAGCAAGTGGCCGAAGATGAGGCCGATGATACTTCTAATGAACAGTTCTATTCCGCCGCTGAAGATAAGCCTGGGGAGAGCGGGACCGAAATGGAGACTACTTCTGCTGCTGAGGAATCCGAGACGGAGGGGTCAGCGGGATCTGTTAGCGATTCGTCTGACGATTCTCTCGAAGACATGATTTCGCTGTCCGCGCCCGAGCTTCCTCAACCACCTTCAGGTGTTATGTCGTCGATGACCTCGGCAACTCCCCGAGCGGGTGGACGACGGATGGATGGGATCCACACTCCAGGCTCAGTCGCATCTAATTTTACATCGGCTACTATGCGGCCTGGTCGTGGTGGCGGCAAAGTGTTCAAGGTTGAAGGACTTCTACAGCAGGTACCAAATGAAGTGTTGCATCCCCGTCCTCGTGATGATGAGGATGTCGATTCCTTCATTTTCGTGGATATCAGCACTCTAGCCAAGATTGGTTGCTTCTCCGGAGACTGGGTGCGAATTGAGGCGGCCGAGGAACCCCAGATGAATATGTTCGCCTCACTCAAGTTCGGCAGCTTCAACGACTCCCCAGAGGACTCAGGGGAATGGCGTCCTGTCAAGGTCTTTGGTCTACCTGGTCTTCCTTCACCGAAGCCTCGATATGCGATCAATCACTCCGGTGATCGTCGTTCAAGCTTCTCCCAGCGTGCTCCCACGCGTCTCACGCCATCCGTGTTCGTCCCCCCTTTGCTCCTCAGCAACATCGAAAACCCCAAGCATCTTCGCATCTCCCCCATGGTATTCACAGCCGCCAATAATCCGTCTAAGCCGGGCCTCCTGCATCAAATGAAGAACAGTGCGGCGAAGAACCCTCCATTGGCCAAGGAAGTCACACTCCTCAAGGTTTCCACTCCCCTTTCCTTGGACAGAGTGCTTCAACCGGCGCTCTTCGCAGGACTGAAGCAATATTTCGAGTCCCGGCGACGGATTTTGAAAAGCGGTGATCTTGTTGGTATCAGTGTCGACGAAGGACTCGGCAGGGCGGTCTTCTCTGGAACCTCTGGAGGCGATAGTGCCCAAGAGGATGATATTACCTCTAGGCTAGGCCAGGGATCCAACCCCACTGGGTCTCAAGCGCGCAAGGTTGGCGTTGCTTGGTTCCGCGTAGGCCAGGTGGCTCCAACTGCCGTTGAAGAGCTCGAAGAGACCGAGGAGGATCAGTGGGGTGGAGTGGCTGTTATTGACCCAACAAGCACCCGCATGGTCCAAGCCGGCAGCGATGTTAGCCGAGTACCCGGAAATCTAGGCAATGGATGGGAGTATTGGCTTGGAGTGAAGACGATTCCTAAGGCTGTCGGCGAGACTCTAGCGCCGCATGGTATCCTTGCGGAACCACCTCAGGCTTTCATCCCACCTCTACAGCAGCGAATTCGAGAGTTGATGGCCGCGGCGACAAGTCCCCGCGCAATTCAACTCGGCATGAAGCCTGTCGTTATTCTGTTGAAGTCCCAACAAAGACACAATGGCAAAGCGACTGTCGCAACACGCGCTTGTGCAGACATTGGTCTTCATACCTTCCTCTCTTGATGCATACGATATCCTGACTGAGGGTGGTGCCAATGGCGGCGACGTGAAGACGGAAGCTTATCTCAAGGCACGAGCGGAGCGAGCTTTCCACTGTGGTGCAAACTGCACCGCCTTGTTGATTAAGCACATCGAAGTGCTAACAGCCGATCGCATGGTGACGGCGATGGCCGATGTCGTGAGTGATGCTCGAGTCATAATTGCCACCACCAGTGACGTGGAGCAGATCCCAGAAGGCATCCGCAGCATGTTCACCCACGAATTTGAGATGGGTGCCCCCGAGGAGAAAGAGCGTGAGGGTATTCTCCGCAACTGCGTTGCTGAGCGAGGAATCAAGCTGTCCGCCGACGTCGACCTGGGGACTGTTGCGTTGAAGACCGCTGCGCTGGTGGCTGGTGACCTGGTCGATGTTGTGGAACGTGCCTCTGGGGCTCGAACGGCCCGTCTCGAGAACCTGGTCGAGACTGCCAGCAAGCAGCGCCCGGAATCGCAGGTCTGCGTTCGAGACGTTCTTCTTGCCGGCGGAGATGGCGCGCGGGCTGTCACGAAAGCAGACTTCGATTTCGCTGTCGAAGCTGCGCGAAAGAACTTCGCTGACTCGATTGGTGCACCCAAGATTCCTAACGTTGGTTGGAACGATGTTGGTGGCTTGACGAATGTCAAGGATGCCCTGATCGAAACTATTCAGCTGCCGCTTGAGCGTCCTGAGCTATTTGCCAAGGGTATGAAGAAACGCAGTGGTATTCTGTTCTATGGTCCTCCTGGTACCGGAAAGACTCTACTTGCCAAGGCCATCGCCACCGAGTTCTCTCTCAACTTCTTCTCTGTCAAGGGCCCCGAGTTGCTCAACATGTATATTGGTGAATCCGAAGCCAATGTGAGACGGGTCTTCCAGCGTGCGCGCGATGCCCGCCCCTGTGTCGTCTTCTTCGATGAATTGGACTCCGTTGCCCCGAAGCGTGGTAACCAGGGAGATAGTGGTGGTGTGATGGATCGTATTGTCAGTCAGTTGCTTGCTGAGCTGGACGGAATGAACGGCGGCGAGGAGAACAGCGGCGGTGTCTTCGTCATTGGTGCGACTAATCGTCCTGATCTGTTGGACACTGCTCTCCTTCGACCTGGTCGATTCGATAAGATGCTCTACCTGGGCGTGTCAGATACCCACCGCAAACAAGCTACAATTATGGAGGCACTTACGAGGAAATTCGCCCTCCACCCGGATCTGTCACTGGATCGGGTTTCCGAGCACCTGCCCTTGACCTATACTGGTGCTGATTTGTACGCTTTGTGCTCGGATTCGATGCTGAAGGCTATTACGCGGAAATCTACCGCCGTTGACGATAAGATCAAGCAACTGCCCGGCGGGCCGGTCAGTACGGCCTACTTCTTCGATTACCTCGCGACTCCGGATGATGTGGCGGTGATGGTGACTGAGGAGGATTTCTTGGCGGCTCAGAGTGAAATGGTTCCCAGTGTTAGGTAAGTTATTTCCTCGACGGTGGGAAGAGAATCAGACTCAAGATACTAACGACAAACACAGTGCCAAGGAATTGGAACATTTCGAACGAATCCGCCAAACCTTCGAGGCCGTCGATAAGTCAAAGCAGGATTCTTCTGGGGCCGGTGGGCAGACAATTGCAGAGGCTATGGAGGCATTTAGTATGGGAGAATCGACAGATATCCCTATTGTGAATGGTGACGCCTCGTTTCCGGGAGGTCCTGGGGGCATTCATGGCCGCATTAAGGGTCTAAAACAATGGCCTGGAGGTATTGTTCGAAGCCCAAGTGGTAGCTCGATCAGCAGTGGCAAGGGCAAGGGCAAGGCTGCTGCTGGTAAGAAGGGAAAGAGTGCTCGGATTGGAGGAGACTCTGATGCCTCTCTGGATGGTGATGACGAGACTATGGCCGACGGTGCAGTTGAGGATGATGAGGATGATTATATTGTTCGCACAGATCATCTTGCGAATCCTATGGAGGAGGTGGAGTAGTGGAATAGAGAGAGACTTGAGTGACACTGGAATGGCCAAGCGGCCTCCAGCAATGTATTATGTGCATCTTTCAATATTATTATTCTGATATAGTACTGGAGTATGACTGGTATCCCGTAGTTACTACTAGTAGTGATCGTAGGGTTTCCCAAGATGAGGAAGGTACAAAGTCAGGAAGTCAGGAAGGAAGGATTGCTCCTTCCCCGGTGCTGCCTTCCCTCTTGATACCTCCGAGTCAGCCTGAGGCTCTTGTTCAACCTCGTTTTCATCCTTTCCTCCTTTCCTTCACTTCTTCACTTTCTATCCCATAACCGACCCTTTTACGCTTAACGATGTCTTCGAGTGCTTGGGATCCCGCAAACTTCGACGAGTGGATTGACGATCCTGACTGGGACGAGGTCACCGACGTCGACGCCTGGAAGGATGAAGAGGTTATCGCACATCTGACTAGGGATCCGATGGTGAAAGGTCTTCATCTACAATCTGTTCCTGCAAGAAATAAGCGCCTTCTTCTCGTTCGACCTCCATATGTTCTCGGTACTCTCAACATGCTTCCACCCGAACTCATCGACCACATCCTCGGCTTATTGGATCCAATCTCCCTCCAAACCTTTGGCAGGGCATCTTTCCATGCACTCTTTGTGGCCACCCAACAATCCGAGTATCGCCTATTACAGAGAGTGGCACCTACGATCCTCCCACTTCTTCATGTCACCGGTCTCGCGTATCTACACTCAATTCACACCGTCTGTCAAGAGCTCCGGTTCCAACATTGCCGTTCCTGCGGTGCTAGAGCAACACTCCTTTCTCTACCAACCTGCGAACGCATTTGTGAGAATTGCGTTGAACTCAACCAAGCATACTGGTGCCTCTTCCTTTCCGAAGCAAAGACCGCGTTTGCCCTCGACAATGTCGATATCGATCCGCTACCCATCCTCCTCACAAACGCGCGCGTCTGGCGAGGAGTAGAACCTGATCCAACTCAGCTGGAGACCGAATATGTTACAGTGAAGTCTGCTCTCACTGCTGGTTTGCACAAATGGGGGTCTCTCCAGAATATGATTGCTGCAGCGGAGTTGATCTCTCCCGATCGCTCCCCTAACGCTGGGGTTGTGGAGATAGCGCATGCCCGGCTATATCGATTTCTGAGAAAGGCCCGGCTGTACCCGTTACTTTTTGATCCATCACAGGTTAAACAGACTGCATCGAATCCTCCTCCTTCGACCCATCCCGGTATGATAACTACCCTCTTTCCTACTGTGCCGTCAGGACGGAGCAGACCTCTGTCATTGTACCGCTGCAACGGTTGCTGGATTATCTGTCAAGCGCCCTATCAGATGGAGGACGACCATCTTGACCTCATGGAGATCGATCCAGTTAATAGTAGCGAGGAAGATAAGGCACGGATCATTCGAGGTCGAATGCTCAAGGTGCGGACGATTGATGAACTGCGGGATCATATTACGCATGAGTGTCTAGGTGCCAAATTGTTGATGTTTCGACGACACAAGATGCGAAGGGATGGGGAGGCAGAGGATCATAGTCATGTCGTGACGGTGGGAGGCACGGGGCATTGACTGAGATTATGTTGTGAGCCATTGTGCACGCCATTTTGCGATTTCGGACCATTTCATAACCATCTGTGGGAGGTTGAGCCTGGGAATGTTTGTCGAAGATTTTGTTTCTAGCGAACAGTGTGGACGAAAGAGAAGGAAGAGAAATAGTATCAGGGTCATTACAAACCACCTTTAATGCTAGGGATGGAGTCACTAGATCTACTTCCGTCGGATATGACCCGATGATCCGGTGCCACGTGGGTGACCATGTGGCAATCTCCCAACTATGAGATCTATAGATCTATACTAGTACTACGTGGATCTTAACTGTACTACTTTGATAAAATCTTTTCATTCTTTGTTTTTCTTTTGTGTTCTTTCTTTCTTTCAATGGATCATCTTCCAATCTCCCCTCCATATTATTCAATTCTAGTACCGAGCCCCGTTGCACTCCCATGTTTAACTTGAACTGTCTTCTATGTTTCAATGTTTCTGCCCCGCATACTACTACTAGTAGTGGATCTTGCAGTCATATGGTTATTAGGTTGTATTAAAAACGGACATAACAATATTAATATACAGATTCAATTTGATTAATGTAGTAAGTAGTACACAATCACTCAAGTTCACAGAGCACCATTTTGTTGTATGATTTTGAGCGCCCACGATGTAACCCTATTAGCCTCAGAATAAACATCCCTCAAATTCGCCATGATTTCAAGTCCGAGCTGGAAATTCTGCGTAGCCTGATCCTTCTGTATCGAGGGCGGGGCTTTCATTTCCGAGATATGAATCACCAACGCGACGAGGATGCCCGTTACGCCGACAATAGGCAAGCGACTATGTAAACCTCTTCGGTAGAGATCGAACGACACACTCGTGATTTGCTGAGAGGCGTGCTGAACGCAAAAATTCGAGGACGGGAAGAGACGCGATTGGTGGAATACTGCGATCGTCGTGTAGAATATTATATGGAGGAGACTGCGTTGGACGGCGATGGCTGGTTCTTCGTCGATGTCTTGGGGCTCGGAGGGATTCGTTTGGCAGGATTTTGGAAGGGCGCTGGCCCATTCTGCTAGCATGCGCTCGGATACGTAGATACTGTTGCTGTAATCCGAGTCGTCGCTTGTGGATGATGTGGGTGTTGTCGGTGAGGCTGATGAACGGAGTTGGCTTTCCTTGCATTGGATGTCTAGCACATTCCGGATGCAGACTGATAGTCGGGCATTGGCGATGAAGATTAGGCTTAGTTCTCTTTGCGCGGAGAAGTTGCGGGATAGGTTTGTGTCAAGTGGCATTCCTGAACTTTGGGAGGCGAGATTTTGTAGGTGGTCGAAGTCGGATTCTAATACCATCTGGTGACAGAAGTCGGCGCGTTGAATGATTGGTCGGCGTCGGAGCCGGAGGGCTATTTGGCAGTCCATTATGTGACAGGACCATGCGAGTCGTCTCCAGAGGGTTGGTCGATAGGGGCTGTTTATGGTCTGTGAGATGTCGTGGAAAAGACCGATGGATAATGCGGTGGAAATTGCGATTCCGATCAGACTGCGGCTGTCATCTCCGTCTGTTGTGTCGAGTCGGTATGCCATTAATAGAAATGCTTGAATGACTGTCAAGGAATCTGTCTCGGTATTGGCTTGATACAGGAGCTATATAGACAGGTCAGTGAGATTTCGGCTTTTGAATGTGCTCCTGCGGTTCGGACCTACCCTGGCCTTTTGGAAGAATGATTCTTGAGCCTCCTGTCTGGTAGAGTACCCAGCGTCAAGAATATAGCGTATATCAACGAATGTTGCCGCGGAGACCATGATGGCATGGTATAGAAGTAGGCTAATCGAGCCATGGCTTCCATGCGCTCCATGGAGAGCTTGGATGAGGGGCTGCCACTCCACGATTGGCATGGAAGGGAGCACGCACTCTGAAAATGCCTGCAGGAGAGCATTTTGGAGTGGAACGTTTGGAAGCGCAAATGTGCCGTTTATGTGGAGACACTCAATGGTATCTTGGTTCATCATCACTGGAAGAGGTTTGATGAAGCTTGGTAGGAACCCTTCTGGATTCACAGCTCCTGAAGGAGTAGACTGCTCAGAGTGAAGGTTTGTAAAGGTGGTCCACACATGTTCCTCTGGAGAGCCAATCAAGTTTATGGGGTTAAATGAATCGGAATGTAAGTCTGAGGTTATGAAGTTGTCAGTAAAACCCGACAAATAGTGATTAGTGGCTGGTGCTTTGAGACAACTCACGAGCTGGGTCCATAGTAGTTCCAGGCCATTTGGCCGCGGCGAGACCTGGGAAGGAATCATTGACGCTATCGAGTCCCAGATGCTGGACATTGGTGTTTATTGGATAGAGATTGCCGGAGGGACTCCCATGTGCCCACTGCTGGGGGGGCCATCGGTGGAGTCGACGACGAACACTGATAGTCCATCCTTCGTCTAGAAGAGTTAGATCAGAAAGTGGGATTCTACAGGATCGAATGGGCTCACCGTTTGGGCTGTCTTTGATCCATAGTAAGACCTCGCTGTTTCTATCTGTTGTTCCTTTATTCTTGAGACAATTTCGCGCGCCTGCTGACGTTCCTCGCGGCGATTAACGGTGATGCAGGTCAGATGCTTAGGTTTCTTCCTCGTCGATAGTGACCAATCCGTAGAGAATGGTAGCTGGAGAGGCGCCGCGTTGAATACGATCAAGTCAAAAGTCCACCGTCTGACACGGAAAGTAGTTGACGAGAGAAGGAAGCAAGACACCCCGCGTTATTTTATTTTATTTTAGGATAAAACCCCGCGAAATCTAAATGGCGGGAGACAGGGATAATAAAGCTTTGACAAGCCTGGTCTAGAATGGTGCCTCTTGCATCAACAAGAGTCAAAAATCCTGTAGAAATCCGGACAGTTCCTGCTCAAAGAGGTTAGAGGCAGCCAGAGGCAGCCTTCGCGCACGGGCGGCGCACATCAAGATCGCTCGGAGTGGAGAGCCCGGCACTTTGCTACCCGTTTTGGGCATCTCCGGGGCAGCCGAAGGTTTGACAGAACGTTGTCCCGGACAGATCCTCCCTCATTAGTCCTGTTTAGCGTCCGATGATCACGCGATTGATGGCTCGGTCACTGTCTCCGAGGACTAGTGGGAGAGTGAAAAGGGCTCTGTTTGGCTACTTTAATATCCTGTTATATCCAGAATTTGGCGGGGCAGCCGGGATGACCTCATGTTCAGGCTGACATCGATTAACGGAGATTAAACTATTTATCTTGGCGGAGCCCTGATTGTCATTTAAGGGGGCATTGCCACATGCAGTTGACTATCGACCAATTCAAACCAAATACCCCCATAACCCGACTGTCGCGCTGTTCGGACCTGGTTCACGAACCCTCGAAGCCTGACTGCACTCATATTCTGCACCGTAAAGGCAGCTAACTTCTCTAGCAACTCTTCACCTGGGCCTTCCAGTTCAAACATTGCTAGCGTTATGGGAAAGACGATGGGCAAGGCCGTCGACTTCATCGCATCGTTCTTCACAAAATATGACAATTCAGAAAATATGCTGTTCGCAAGGAAATGTGCTGCTGCATCTTCAACTCCAAGGGGGTATCGCAACCGATGAATCACTAATAGAGCTGCTAATCGATAAGTGTTTGCTTGTGTGACCATCGCTAGGACCTCATTTTGCCCAAAATCCGTGTACAAATGAGGTGGCGTGGGAGGTCTCCACTGTTGTATGCGTTCTTCAATCTCTGCGAGCTGTTCATAAGCCTGCGATGGCGAATCAGACGCCGTATCGCGGACTTCTCGCTTTTGTGTATGGCTCCATGCGCAGATATCATATAGGTGAGTAAGGAGTGTCGCGCATAGACCAGCATAGCGATCAATGATGATGCGACCGGTGTCTAGCGGCAGTCGCATAATGGGAACCTCGCGATGTGCTAGACATTCGACCGTATCAATCAGGATCGGTGTCATCGTGATCGTGTCCATGATGGGAAATTGGATCAATCGTGGTAGCCATTGTTTTGTTGACATGAGCGCGCTCCGCACAATGGAGTGGGCAGAGGAGGAATAGGGGGCGGTGAGTACGTTAAAAACGTACATGGTCTGCCCCAGGAAGAGGGCGCAGGCCGCATCGTAATCATGCGAGATGGTGACGCTTCGTAAGCGTTGTAGGCCTACGGCGGCCTTTGACATATCGGGTTCATCTTGTCGCATTACCAGGGATCTCTGATAGCGCGTCATCAAGCCCAGAAATGCAAGGTACCCCTCGGTTAATGTCGGGCCAGACATGGAGAGAATGGTATAAATGGCCTTTTGACCACTTGGAATAAAGCTGGGACCCCACATGAAGGGCATATGTATTACCGCGAACTGCTCGACATTGCTCACAGTGCGGAGCGCATCGGAGATGGTGCGTAGACTGGTTGGCGAGGCGAGTAACTTCTCGGGCCCTAACGACATTCCATCGTCATGAACAGGCGTCCAAGCTACATCCGAGGCGCTCGATGGCGATCGAGACTTGAAGCTAACACTGGGGGTGCTGGGAGCCAAACTGTCGCGATTATCGCTGGATTCGGACGACTCATCTTGCTGTGTTGGAATCTCGGCGCTCCAGACCTGCATCTGCCCATGTGGAAAGGCCTTTGCCGCGGGCCGTCGTCCGATGCGTCTGTTACGCCGAGATATAGAGCATGACAGTTTTAAGCGTCGACATCGCGTGCATTGTGGGCTTTCGTCAGCGAAAGTGCATTTTTCTTTGGCGGAGTGGCACCGGTCGCACGCCTTGAGGACCATGTCCACGACCAGGAAAGGAGTGACAGAGAAGAAAGAAGTAGCCGAGGTCTGAGTACTCGTAGCAGATTCTCGCCGATGGGACAGGGCGATCGTGACGTGAGGAGCTCGGGTTTGACGCGTGAGACCAGGAGGGGACTGGCTGTGTCGTCTCCATTCGAGAGTTTTCCCCGCTTTTCCGGGGGATGGCCGTGGGGGCCAATCGCGGGGAGCGAGATCCGATAGTTTTACTAGTACATTGCTGGCCACTGAGGATGTTCGGAGATGGCCGGAAATTGTAGGAGGTGAGTATATATATTCTAGTAGCTATTCAGATATTTCATGTCCCTTTAGACTCTGAACTGGTCGATGCCGACGCTGTCATGAGTTTCCCGGTTATCGGGCCGAGAGCCTGCGGATTCCCACAAAGCACGCTGGGAGTCAACAGATGTGTAAATTTGGATTAATATGAAGACTATGTATTATCTCCAGTGACCAGCATAGATTGAGCCATTTTTAGAGTGCTATATCGCATTTCCTGGGGTAACCAACGCCTCCTATCCTTCCAGACCATTCGCCTGCTCTCCGGTGGGGATGAGAGTTCAGGGGTAACATTCCTCAACCATACCTTGGGCTCCGCTGACCTCGCTCCTTGGATCTCTTAACGGACGTTCCAAGGTTCCAGCCTTGCCTGATATGCGCGTCCTGCTATTATCGCCGGGCATTTAATAACCACGGGAAGACATTTTCTCAACTCGGAGCTGATCTTCTAGCTCACTTCCAAGTTTTATTTCTTTGCACCTTGGATTATCTCGACCTGAATTGACTAACTGCCGGCCTCCCAGCATCTTTGTATCACTGCCCCATCCTCGCTTTGTGGTTCCAAATAATTAAGGGACTCCCTACCGGATACGTCTCCTTTGGATTGTGTGGCCGATCTCGGATATGATCTATGGCCACTTTCTGCATTAGGTGATATGAGCAACCCATGCGACTCCAGTGAATGAATAAAGGGACGGAGCTGCCCCCAACATGCCGTGACGATACTGAGGCAATGTACTATTTGCTGAGAGATAGTGAACTCGCATCTGCGATACATCGGGTCGGTAGGCTTTTGTTGCTGGATCATAGCGAGTTGAATAATCGTGGCGGCAATAACACTGTCGAAAGTCGTGGATTTTGTTAGTGACGAACTGAGTATGTTGAAGTTCGAGTCCCTTTTTACTCACAAGCTTCCTATATGCATCTTAGTATGGTAGACCTTGCGAAGAATCGGGCGAACACATAGTACTATATTGTAGCATTGACCCTTCCACACGTCCCAGACTTGAGGCACGCCGCATTGAAATGCCGAACAAAATATCATCACCACGGTGGAAACCGCAATTGTTACTTGAACCACCCGTGCAAATGTATGATTGGTAGAATATGGGTGGAGACTTTGAATTTAGAGGGATAGCGACGATTTCGAAAAGTGAATGCTAAGGATTAACAACAGATTCGCCGAGTCAAGCAACTATCTAGTGAGAATTTGTAAGAAATCCAGCCAAGTTCGAGAAAGACTGACCTTCAAAGCATTATCAACTGAACCTTCCGGAATATCGTTTGAATGCTTTCTGTAGCCATTCGCGACCGCCGTCGATACGCAAATGGACTGTGAGATGCAAAAAGCGTATCCGCATCAAAGTTCAAGGATCAGCCCACGAAATTTTAGATATTTTGCGTGGTAAATATTTCTCACTTATCAAAGATGCAATTGCATTATAATCATCAGAGGCCAAAGCCCCCAGATGTCGAAACTTTGTTCACAGCCTCGTGATGACACTCATTATAGCAACAGATAATAGATATGATGGCGACATTAATGGCAGGCCCTTTTTCATCGCGTGAAAATCTGCTCATGATGATTTTGGGAGTGGACACCAATGGTCTCTAGAACTTCTTGAAGAAGCACTGATCTCAGAGGTGATGTGGCTATGTAGGAGTTTAAAATTCAATCGATGGTTACAGCAAAAGGATTGCCAAGTTGGACACTTGAAATTGGGACGGTGAGCTAACGAACAAGGGTACTGGGAGGGATTCGACGGGAAAGTACGGAGTACATTTTTAGCCATTTATCAAAATATCTTAGTGAAAATGCGCGCCTTGTTTCTGCACCTATCACTCTAGGCATCTAGGTGGATGGGTGTAGCGGGTGCTGTTATAATTATGTAGTGGCAGGGCAGGTTACTACGAGTAGAGATGTGACAACTTGATTCAAATATGAAGATACTGCTATGGAAATGGCGAGAAGAAATTTTCGATTTCAAAGTGTATCTTTGTGAAAATCGCACTTGTCAAAGGATCGATACCCTTGCTAGGAGTAATCCTTTGGCCCCCATCTGTGCCGCATCGGGATTGGTTCCGACGCAGCATGCCCGCTTCCGAAGCTCCACTTCAATTGAACTGGCATATTGTATGGATTCACGGAGCGTAGCAAGACCCCTGCACATGAGGGATTTTGCTATTTCAGGTTGTGGGGGTCATTGGCCGAACCCTGTCGATTTTACGCGTCGCCTCGACGTGGGCCCATCTGCATGAAAAGCTTGCATTAGATATACACTAGTCAATTGAAAGACCCTTTCGTTGGATGATTTGATCCCCATCGCGATGATCAACTTCTTTGCCATTTCCAGGAGAATTATCATAGGATTGAATCTGACGTGGAACGAGGGTTGGTGCGTTTCACCTAGCCCTATGGAGTACCTGGGAATTCCTAGCTTCAGCTACTTAGAGCAAGTCCGTGGCCAATTCTCCCAGCGAAAGAACTTGTTCTTTTCAATTCTTTCCTGGGTGTCCCCTACTCGCTATCCCAAGCAGCGTCGTTTCCTTCTCTCCCAGGATGTCGGTTTTTGAGTTGAAAGAAATGCACAACCAAGCGACCCCGGTCGGTGAGAATGTGATATCAACCGAGGATAGAGATCGAATGCAATTGGAAAGATTGGGCAAAAAGCCGTTACTTAAGGTACAGGGTCATATGCGAAATTATAACAAAAGCCATGAGCTAAGTACTACAGCGAAACTTCGGCATCCCTTCAATTCTAGGGTTCGGTTACACAATTCTCGCAACATGGGAAGGCCTTCTAGAGACAGTCTTCGAGGGACTTCATATATTTGACAAATAACTGAGCTCGTCATAGAACCTTTGTTATTCCACTGCAAAAGTTGGCTTGTAATGTTCGGACTGGAGAATAGGAGCTAATGAAGTCGCAGTGGTGGCCTCTGGCGGTGCTGTCTATGCGTATGTAGATCTACAGGGGACCAGTCGTTGAATTGTCGCGTGGATAGTGCTAGTACCTACTGGATTATATCCATAGATTTCTGGTGGCTCGATTGAGAATTCCAAGTCAACCTCAGGGTCAGGGCGGAGACAATTTGTTACGAGATTGCCTGCACCATGATAGCACACCTATTCAAACCCGGAACTAGGCGACTCATAAAATTGTACAATAAAAGGACCCACTTTTAAGTTTTCCCTTGAAATTAAGTTAAAATCTACCTACTCATTAGTATATAGAAGATATTCAGGGTGTGAAATTCTCGGAATATGTAGATCGCTGTAATTTTCGCTTCGGCCGAAGGCTGTACGACACTTTCAGTGACTTTACGAGCCTTCAAGTCCTATTTCCTTTTGCTTGCTATAATTAGTATTCTTCCTAGATATAACAGATGCTAATTATATGTAAATCCACTGCCGTAAATCTCATTTGAGCAGCTTATCGTGACTGACACAGAAATCAAGGTGTATTTTATTAATTTGTCCAAGACATTGATTAACTCACCCATATTTACCCCTATTTACACCTATTATCTTCAAAATAAGTACTTATGAGCGGGGAAATACATGGAATTGGTCTAGAGCGGCCGCCAAGGTGAGCTTCACTGCCTCGTTGAGCGGAATTTCTTCTCGCACCAATGGAACGTAAGCCTCCCGGGTTAGTTCGGTTTGGAGTCTTGCGAATCAGTCTTACAGAGCAGAGCGGGGTTAAATGACAAAAATGTTTCACAGCATTTCTGTCACCTTAGCAGATCCACTTGATGATGCAAAGCAATAACAGCCATCTTCCTCTACAATGTATAATGCGGAAGGGTTGTGTCATTGTCCCTGCATAACAACGGCTGTCAAAATCCGCAGGTCAACGCCGAGTGATTACTATTGCTCACTTTCAGACACGAACTTCGAAAATTTGAAATATAGAGTACGTGGCCTGAGAGCCCTAGTGACCCCACTGAACGTTGAAAATCACCCGCACGCCAGTCGGTAGAAGCGGATCCGCATCCTGCCCCACATAGTTATGTGAGACGACTTGTTTGATAGTTACCCCAGACCTGAAAGACTAACATCGAGTCTTTCCTCAGGGAGTTATCTGAGTAAACTGATGTACATACACTGAATTTAGCCTGGGATGATTGGTGTTCAGTCAAGTTTTGTAGTATGTTCACACGCAAGGTTCCCCGCCTTGCTTGGGGCCTAGGAGAGCTATAGAATGAGATGAGCCACAAGATACCCATCGAAATGAGATATAGAAGCCTGAGGCACAATGTCGTGGATGAATATGGGAGTATAAAGTCCATTGAGTCAGTACTCAACGACACTGCTTATCATTTGTCCGTTCAATGGAGCGCCTTCAGGTTTGTCATAAAGATATTCTCGCCAGAAACACTCATATAAACCCAGTTCAGCGGCTAGTGGGATTCCTGAGGGGAAGAGATGTAGAACAAACAATTACCTCTAATTGTTCTAAATTTTGCCCAACTAGATTTATACAGTCCCCACTCGGGCTCAGTATTACCCGGGCTTCCTCAATTGGATTCTCGCATGAACGGAATCGAACAGAGTTAGTATTGGTGCATTTGCAACAACTGATATGCACCCCAAATGGTGGCAAACGTAATCCCCGCAGTGAATGATCCAATCAAATGAGCTTAAAAGGTGTCTACCGTGGGGAAGCAGCATTGATACAGGAAAGCAAAATAAGAGGAAAAGTATTGTCATGTAGAGGTCGACGTACCGGTGCCAAAGACGAATTAGCAATGTAATTTCCAACTACCTATATAACGATTACAACTAATTTAAATTGCAAATCTCCTGCGGTGCTGGTACTACCGTCAATAGATAGATATAAGTTAGATATCTTTAACCTATTGATAGCAGTCTGCCTTTGAAGGGAGCTCAGCTTCACCCCCAGAATTTCTCACAAGGCGAACGGGGCGCTTGCTGACGCCCTCTTGAACTTTTCTTGCCACGTCGCCGAGACTTGATCCCCGCATGAGGGGTATAGGCCTTCCCTTGGTTGCCAATGAATTAGATATGGACTGGCGTTTTCCCTCTTTGGATTTGCATAAGTGGGGTAGCTTGGTGTTATAAAGAGCACAGGAAGACCCCGGATTCTTTCTTGTTCCCGTCTGTTTATGTCCTAGCTATTAGCTTAATATCTTCATCTCAACTATATTGAAGCTGTTCATGAAAATAGCTGATCACTATGACTATCCCAGAAGAAGTTGATATCATCATTTGTGGGGGCGGAAGTTCAGGATGTGTGCCTGCAGGCCGCCTCGCCAATCTTGACCATAATCTCTCGGTTTTGTTGATTGAAGCTGGAGAGGACAATTTGAACAACCAATGGTACGTGTTTCAAAGACCTGTGCTTTGAGTTACCGAAACTGATCATAAATGTGTATAGGGTCTATCGACCCGGTATATATCCCAGAAATATGAAGCTTGATTCAAAGACCGCATCTTTCTATCATTCACGCCCATCCGAGCATCTGGATGGACGCCGGGCTATCGTACCTTGTGCCAATATCCTTGGCGGGGGGAGCTCGATCAACTTTATGGTGAATTTCTCTTCATTAATACCGAAAGCATATATTAACCCCCTAAAAGATGTATACCAGAGCTTCTGCCTCGGATTATGACGATTTTCAGGCAAAAGGCTGGACGACCAAGGAGCTTTTGCCTCTCATGAGAAAGCATGAAACATATCAGCGAGCCAGCAACAACCGCGATATACACGGATTTGAGGGTCCCATCAAGGTGTCATTTGGTAATTACACCTATCCTATTGCACAGGACTTTCTTCGTGCGGCAGAATCGCAGGATATTCCGATCACGGATGATTTGCAGGATTTGAAAACTGCGTAAGAACTCCGAGATACATTCAATCTATCTCAATACTGATTGAAACAATCACAGGCATGGTGCTGAGCATTGGTTGAAATGGATCAACCGAGATACTGGTCGACGCAGCGATGCCGCTCATGCATATGTGCACAGTACGCGCGCAAAACACAGCAACTTACATCTAAAATGCAATACAAAGGTTGCGAGGGTTATTATTGAAAATGGCCGGGCAGTTGGAGTCGAAACAGTTCCAACCAAGCCTCTCGGTGGCGAGAAAGCTGTTCGTAAAGTCTTCCGGGCGCGAAAGCAGATAATTGTGTGCGGCGGTACACTCAGTTCGCCCTTGATTCTCCAGAGATCTGGAATTGGTCATCCGGAGACACTTCGCCAAGCCGGTGTTGAACCACTTGTGAATCTTCCGGGTGTAGGCCGAAACTTCCAAGATCACTATCTCACCTTTTCTGTTTTCCGAGCGAAGCCCGAAGTCGAAACATTTGATGATTTCATCCGTGGTGATCCCAAAGTCCAGAAAAAGGTGTTCGAAGAGTGGAACCTCAAGGGTACTGGTCCTTTGGCAACGAATGGAATTGATGCTGGTGTCAAGATTCGCCCTACTCAGAAGGAGCTGGATGAGATGAAGAAATGGCCGACCCCAGAGTTTAATAGTGGATGGGAGTCGTATTTCAAGAACAAGCTAGATAAGCCAGTCATGCACTACTCGGTTATTTCTGGGTGAGTTGAGAAGAGAGAGAGAGCCTCGCTATTGATGGCATCGCTAACAAGCTACAGATGGTTCGGTGACCATATGCTCATGCCTCCAGGAAAATTCTTCACCATGTTCCATTTCCTGGTACGGGTTTCAATTTAACACTGCGATCATCCTTTACTTTCAGCATCTGAATTCTAACTGAAAACTGCAGGAATATCCATTCTCACGTGGTTCAACCCATATCAAGTCCTCGGATCCCTACGATACCCCAGACTTCGATGCTGGCTTCATGAACGACAAACGTGATATGGCGCCCATGGTATGGGGCTACATTAAGTCTCGCGAAACGGCAAGGCGAATGGGATCGTACGCCGGAGAAGTGACAGGCATGCACCCTCAATTTGCTTACAACTCGGCCGCTCGAGCCTATGACCTTGATCTCGCAACCACCAAGGCATATGCAGGGCCAAATCATATCTCCGCAGGCATCCAGCATGGTAAGTTGAGAAAATACCCATTTAGCCCCAATACTCACAAAATCGTACACTAGGTTCTTGGTCGCAGCCTCTTGAACCTGGAAAGCCGGCCACGTCAACTCATCTGAACTCAAATCAACATGAGGCCCGCGATGAGATTGAATACAGCAAGGAGGACATTGCGCACATTGAGAAATGGGGTAAGACCGACTCAGAAATGCTTGCATTTTACTCTGCTGATGACCTCCTTAGTCCAACGCCATGTTGAAACGACATGGCACTCTCTCGGAACTTGCAGCATGGCTCCACGGGAGGGTAGCTCTTTAGCCCCACACGGTGGCGTGGTTGACGAACGTTTGAATGTGCACGGAGTGAAGGGCCTTAAAGTCTGCGACTTATCCATCTGCCCTGATAATGTGGGCTGCAACACTTTCAGCGTAAGTCTTTCATCTATCGCGGGATAAGACGATTCTAACATGACTATTTCCATTAAAGACGGCCCTTCTTATTGGAGAGAAATGCGCTGTTCTTACTGCCGAGGACCTTGGATATTCAGGTGCAGCCTTGGACATGAAAGTGCCTGCTTACCATGCCCCGGGAGAATTTGTTAACCTATCCCGCCTTTAAAGGAGGAAGGGAGGTGCATTAACTCATCCGGGAGCTTGCTGTGGCTGCTGAGCACATCAGAGAAACGGACTTGACGGATGGTCATATGATATTGAGCCTCGTATAGCCCCGAAGGATGAGTCCTGGGGCTTAGTATTTTCTGTCTGGTTTCTTGAATTAGCTCTTTATCTATCAAGACTCGTTTTCGAAGCACCAATACTACGTCGTATTTTTATTTCTGATGGGATCAGTATGGAATACTGGCACCTCTCATTTTTCGATTCCGAGCTCGGGATTTCTTGTTTTGTCCAATTGCGGTTAGTAACGCAATTCTTACTTAGGCCTACTATTGGGGAACCCAATACGGGATTTAAAATCCATGAAGAAAGATCTTGATATTTGGAGGATGGGGCCGAAATCCTTTCGGTCTCCTCAATCTGATGAGTGGATAAGACGAAGGGCGGTGGGTCAGTGAAGTCTTACTCCCATGACTGAAGTAAAGCTTGGTGGGTGGCAACAGCAAAGCATTAAAGACGGTGACTAAAGAATTGAAAATAGCGAGAAAATTATGATTGAGGCGTATGCAACAATCATGAAATTACTATTCTAGCTACAACCACCACCACCACTATGAATATTGTATTTTAAAAAGTAACGGGGTTATCTATGACGTTTATCGGTATATAATCCGGGTACTTTTGTCCAAAAGTAATTAGGGTAGGTATAGCAGGAGTACCTAAAGGTATCTGGTTTCGGATAGCCGTATTATATTCCTTTCGTCTACCCTTAGTTTTTCGATTATTTACAAAACGAACAGTATCTTTGGTAGTCAGAGCACCAAATTTGCCTAATTGCTTTTGGGATTTGCGTGCAATTATAGGTTTTTTAGGCAATTAGTTCTCTAATATATCGTATAAGAGATCAATACCCTCAGTTAACCAAACCTACAATCTTGCCACACGTTGCATTTGGCGGTGTATATCGGCTAGAATATCATCACGGTCAAATAAACCCTTTACTTTATCGTAAATTCGACGTACATCAGCTAATGACTTAGGTAGTAAGCTTAGAATACTAGATACAACCTGTAGTTGTAGTGTTTCATTACTATCGAATATCTAAAGCTCTAGCTCAGGGGTTTACAAATCCACCAAAGGCTTAATAACTAGGTCTAGATTATAGGAGAATATGCCACGTATAGCAAATACATTGCGAATAGTACGTGGTTGCAATACATCCTCACGAATTTATGTAATTTCCTCAAAAAAAAACACTAATATCGCGTATATCTCTACCCTATTAAGTAATCTAGTTATTCTTGGTTCGATATACCTATTTGCAATCCTAGCAGCCAAACAAGCGGTTTGAATACGCATTTCAACTGCATTATATTGACTAGGCATCGTGGTGGTGGTGTTGGTAGTCGAAATAGTAATAATGTGATTGTTGAGAGCAGAATTTTGTTGACCCCCGGCTGACCCACACGCGCCGCGTGTGGGTCAGCCTTAGGCTTCAAGCATCCCAGTATGCCGCCTGAGGTGACTGTTATATAAAATTCCTCACCACAAGCCTATGGCCCTTCTTGTCACAATTGTCCGTCGGCCCGCAAACCAAAAAAATCCCTTGCATACCCCTCCTCAAAGCCCCCACCAGATCCCACTGTGTGGAGATTGTAGTACAGTATGATCTTCTATAGACTTACATTTAATCCCACATGGAACGAAAGACGGTTTGTTCTAACAACGAGTTCCGGTCGAGGAATCTTTTGAAGTCGGCATTGCGCATCAAAATCTCCACATTCCAGATCATGTAGTCTCGCAGCATATTTTCCAGGTTTTTTATGGACTCGCTTTCCTCAAAATCAAATATCAATAGCTGAACGATGTCCCCCGTTCTTTCTTCGAAGAGAGTAAAGTTCTCAAGCAATCGTAGCAGCAGATAGAAAGATAGGACGCTAAGAGAATACCAGTCTGTTCTTACTGCAAAACGATGGATTTCAGCGTGACCCAGAAACACTGCTGCATAGCTTGTGTTAGGTTCATTGCTAAGATTCCCTCCAGATCCTGACCGCGGAGTATGGCTAAGTTCTGCTTGCATGATACCATAGTTAAGCGAAAGGCCCTCTGGGTGGAAGACATTCCAACTTAGGTTGGAAGGCTCCCATCTCTTTACCTCTTCCTAACAATGTGTTTCATTGTCTTCTGACTGCGAGCTGTTGCTTCCCGGGGATCCTGGAAGGGGGCACGGATCAGAGTAATCCCCAGAGTACACAAACTCACAACAACGACCAAAGAGTTTTTTATCAACACTCTCGATCGTCGTTGATTCAAGAACCTTTTTTGGAAATGAGTTTTCCAGAGCCCAATGTATTCTGATCTGCTTTTTCTTTTTACCAATGTAATGGTGAAATACCCCGGATTGCAGGATTCTGCGCAACTGTTAGGGGACAGAACAATGTTCTCCAAGAAGAGGGCAAAACTTAATTATGATATGGCGTCATGTTGAGAGAATGAAGAAGTGGAAAAATGTCTAAGACGGCAATTTTAATCAATTGAATGCTAGAGAAGCAGAGGAGGTATATATTCTCTGATCCTGATTCTTTTTTCACAAAAGAGGATCCTCGTGGCTCTTTATATCGATGTACTCGCTCTGCACGTGCCTGAGGTCCGCAATACTGCTGTGTCATCCTCCAATGAAAGCCACCGCAGCGATCCACTTCCACAACAGGTTGAGAAGCCTATGAGATGAGTTCTCACTGGGAAGTGTGACTGTCTGGCCACCCACAGCCACTGGCCCCGAAACCTGACTGCTCGGAGATCCCTGACATACTGTCGTCCAATGAAAAACACTGTAGATACCCACTCAGCTGACAATAGGCCAATAAAATAAATCCTCTACGGGAAATACCGATAGAAACCATTCGCAGCACTTAGTCCACACAATTCTGGCCCTAGGCTTTGCATGCTGAGTCGGAGCCGGGGTTGTGACGGTTCAAGGAAGCTTGGGGTTTAGACCTCGATCGGACAGTAAAATATTTGATCGATAAAGATATGTTAGCGAGTCTTATTTGAATGAAATTTGTCTGCTCAATGAATGAGGGGTATATTTGGACACGCGAGGTTTAGCATCAAGGCACATCTTGATGGGATTTTGCAGAGGCACAGCATGACCCAGTTCAATATCAACCTTCATCATCTGGCCAGAACGCAGAGTCGGTCTTCGCATCTTCTATGTAGCTTATCGAAATAAAGTAGACCCATGCTAATTTTGCGGCAGCTCTCCAGATGCCTCAGCTTCGTTTCCTTTGTTGAATGATCTTTGTACTGAATGCGTTCCTTTTTGGCGGGTTGGAAGGTTTTTGATTTTTCTAGACCTCATCTGTGCTGGGGTTGCAGGCTGCCTTATTTCGGCTGTATCTTCTCGGAGACCGGCATATACTGTCTGTGCCAATAAATGACTGACATAGTAGCGATTTGTTTGGTCGAGCGAAGGTAATGGAAGCCCGATCCATTCTTTCCCTTCGTCTGGCAGGGTCCAACAGACCTCTTCAAGAAACTGACGTGGAGAATCCTGGACATTCATTGCTTTGCGCTCCGCCTTGGAACCATTTATGTAGATATCTACCACCAGGTGCCGTAAAGGGCTGTTGGGCAAAGTTTGAGTGTAGATGAGACCGACTGCATCGTTGCAGAGAATCTCTCGGGTGTCTTCCTCGGCTCGTCCCTTCAAGAGCGGCATCAAAGAGTCTTGTAGCTCCGGGATCTCAAGATTCTTGGCTAAGAGCCACAATTTCAGTAGGAAATTCATTTTCTTCCTTTGAAGTCCCCCAAGAGAATGCTTGCTGCGATACATCCACAGAACTATCTCAGCGAAGAGATCTGGTTCCATGTCCGGAAAATGAATAGCTTGGTCATCAAACGATTGCTTCGTACGCTTGCTCAATAAGTGGTCAAAGTACGGGGAGCAGGCACAAAGTAGCTCCAGGTGCACATCAAATGGAGCTCGAGACTCGCCCACATCTAGCTTCACAATGCCAGACACTAGTGTCCTTGATGAGGCTTAGTATATCCCCTATCCCTGGCATTCTGTTTGTGGTTTCAAGCTCACTCAGCATTCAAATGGCTCTTCGATTCTTCCATTTCAAATTTGCGCCGATCGACTTATTATAAGCCGCGATCATGGGTTCTATACCTCGAGAAGTAAAGATTTCGTGAGGAGGCAGTCAAGAGATGCGACTGGGTTCTTATTGACCAAACGATAAGCTAGGGCCGTCGCCAAGATGCAGCCACGGTTACATCGGCAGAGCTAGTGTGGTCGAATTCGAAACTAGTGAGGGGTCCACTGGAGTTACAATATCACACCCAGAGGTACAACCGGCCAATGATGCCGTTCCTGACTCTAGAGTGGGACTTCAGATACCTGAATGCTCCTGCCAGCACATGCATCACCTGGCATACCGTGGCGTCTCGACCCGTTGATGAGCTAAGGCTCACAGCTTCTTTTTCTTCATCTAATATCTCCCAGAATAATTTCTCATTTCTCGCGAAAAAGCGGCTGGTTAAGAGCTAGTATATCATATCATGCAAAAAAAGTGAACTTGCGGTATTACATGACCGAAAAACCTATTCAAGAGTAGATCCGTGGCAGATACACCTTAGATGCCACTCTGTTCATACTCCCTATCAGTCTCTAGGGTTTTTGGCGTACCCGAAACCTTTTCCACAGCCTGAAGGTCAGACCTTGGCCGAACTTCCACCTAAAAAATGATTCCCATTCGAGCCTGCAGTCGATTGCCTCCTGGGACGATTCGAAGACCTCCTGGCGGAGACACAGCTTGCTATTTGGGCAGCTTCCCCCTGTGCCGCTAGATACAATGCCTGAGAGCTACGGAGTTGGATTATCTTGGTCAAGGGGTCATAGTCGTCATCTTCCAACGAGGAGATGCATGGGAAGATATTGAGAATATAAAGGCCTTGAAGGTCCTGTGCCGCCGGTGTTGTATTTTCACCAGCGAAAGGGAAACGATCCCATTCGCTGTCATCGGGATCAAAAGATTCGTCGAAGTCCGTCTCAAATTTCCGTCGTGATCGCTGGATTGGAAGCCAAGCTTCGGCGGCGGTCTGAACTATTTGTCTAATCTTAGTACAAAATAGCTCTTGCTGCGACTCGGAAAAAATTCTGCCTGCATAAGAGAGCATCTTCTGGGCTATAGCTCCAATCTCCGATTCAAGAGCGTTATGCTCAGCATCCGAATCGATCGAGAGAAGCACGCGACGGCAAAACGCTTCCTTCTCGCCATTACTAACTGCAAGATGTTCGAGAGTTTCACGAAGGTTATTGGTCTCCGACAGAAAGTAGCTCGGTTGGAAAATCCGTTGATTTATCTCCCTGAACAGAACAGCCAAGATCAATGCAAATCGTATTGCCTTGGCAGCTGAGGAATTCGAGGGAATCAGAGGGAAATTCGGTGGCAGAATAATGTCCCCCTTCCTAAGTTTCTCCCAGATTGTCTTTTCCTTTTTTCATCTATCAGTGATGCACGCGTGGAAAGGCTGCCGAGAACCAACCTTGAGAATATTTTCCGGAACATCCTGCTCCATGATTGGGCGTAGTTCGCTCGTAGCAGAGGTCCAAAGATTTTTAAACTCCGTGGTCCTATGTCAAAGGCGACAACAGTCAGTTCAAAAATGCTTGCAACCATTTGACACGGCTTACACATAATCATCATCAATGTCCGAGCATTGGACAGTGAAGTCTTCCATCTTCTGGATACGGTCTCGGATTTCCTGCAGCTCTGTTCTCATCGAGGCATTGGCAGCTTCCAGCTCTTTGCTCTTTTGCTGCTCGGCAGATAACGTTAATTTCAACTTCGATCCCGCTGTCTTCATCTGATCTATCGTCTTGTCTTTTCCTTCGAATTCTTTTGCAAAGTGGTGATGTCTTTAACAGACTGTGAGACCTTCGCAGCCTCCTGGGAGCAAGTTGCTTTTAGATTGACTATCTCCTGTTGTAGAGACCCCAGCTTCGTCGAATATCCAGCAATCTCGATTTCTTTCTTGTAAACAGTAGCACGAAGGGATTCAATTTGCGAAGCAGAATCTTGCTGTTTTGATTTTTCATCCTGGTTAGCTTTGAACATTCCGTTGATGGTGATTTTGTTTTCCTTCAACTCTTCATCTTGAGACTGAATCTGCTCGCGCTGTTTCGTGATCTCGCCAAGCACGGTAGCTGCAAACTGAGAATCAGGGCTTGAGGCCAGTATACTCAGGTATTTAATAAATCCTTCAAGGCTACCAGTGTTGGCTAGAGGTGGAGTATCGGACTCTCCTGATTTCAAGGATGAGGCATCGGTGGGAGGCATCGTAAAAAACTTTTTGGCTAAATCGTGGGATTGCGATGCGTTGAGAAACCGTGGGGCCTCAAATTTTTGCCAGAAAAGAGTTGTTATATATTTATGGTCATCTCGCGAAGATGTTGCCTCTGTAGCAACAGTCAACAAGCTGAGCCTCAGATGAGGGGAAGGAAATGTGAAGCGGTTCATGCATGCAAGTGCAGGGAAGTTTGCGACGTGTGAGGGAGCCAGTGGTCGTCTATCACGCGACATATGGCGAGCAGATGCACGAAATTAAGTCTTTACGTGTCATTTTGGATGTGGTCGCATCACTAAGGCTGCTGCAACTTCCGATAGTTGACCAGGGAGTTCTTTGAATTGAATACTATGTGGGTGGTTTTAAAACCTCAACGTGAGTAGGTGCAAGACCACCGCCGATCGAAGGTCGCTGTGGGTACCCACCTCTAGCCCATCCGACGAGCCAACGAAATCAGCCCTCAGTAGCATCACGTGGCTGTCCCGCTGAGAACTCAGCCCGCGACCCCTGGTCGCCCCTTCGACTATCTCAAGGCCGGGTTAAGGCCAGAATGATTGGTCTAAAAGAGACCTAGAACTAGAGCACAGCCCATATGACGTCTGCCCTTCTGTGTCGTCTTTATTTTTCAATAGGCTGTACTGTAACTAAATTTCTCTCTCAATGGGGTAGACATGCCATACAAAGCTGTGAGGTAGGAGTCTAATTATCAAACAGCGGCACCCTCTTGTGTGCCCTAACAAGAAGCGAGCTAATCTACATCCAGCGAGGCTGTTTGCCCCTTTCTCCTAGAATAGATAATGTAGTTGACAGGACGAGCGTGGGACCCCGCCCGGTGAATCTTATATGAAACCGCTATACAATTACCATCTTTCCTCTAGCCAGGTTCCATTATTTCAATTATGTCTGTTGGGCGTCACTCCTACTTAGCTTTGCAATATGCTGCAGAAATTTCTCCACTAGAGCTGCATTTTTTTGGAATGGGATCGTGAGCTCCAAATGTTGAACTTTTGCTCGAATATTGCTTTTTGGGGCACGTCCAGCTGCTCTCACCCGGGAGCCTTGTTTTTGCTTTTCATCCGGCGCCGACTTGAGCTGGGCGAAAGCAGGCTGAGTGATGGTAGGCTGAGTCTTTGGCGCCCGCAAAATGTGACTCGTCCCAGCTTTATTCGTTTTTTCGAGCCTTGACATTTTTCGCTCGACTTCCCTCTCTACCTCTGCTCCATGGACGCCCTAAAGAGGTCTCGCTCACCCCCGGTGCACTCTCTCCAATGGCGGAAAACTTTTTCTACCCGTCAGACGAGTATATACCGCTTGCAGGATAGTCGTTTATGTGTGTCCACTGGGGAATCGGTGATCGATGAATTCTTTCGCAGTTTCGAGCCGGGCCTCTCTCCGCCCCGCCGGCATGAGCTGCTGCGACTTTTTCTCGAGCAGACTGGAGCGCTACATTCATTCCTAGACACTACCCGGGGTCAATATCAACCAGTAGACAGACGGGTGCTCGCCTTGGTGGACGACCGATGTGATCCTTGTTTGCAAATAACGGGCATCGCGGGAAGCGCAGCTTTCCTGCCTGTCCGACCATGGGAGTCCGAGGAGTACATGAGACGGCCTCCTGAGGGCTTATATACTCGGTTTTGCGGTGTAGATGCGGAAATGCTCTACAAACATCTTAATAGGGATGTATGTTATCCTCCCTTTTACAATATGGTCTCCTGCTGATCTTCACAGAGAACAGGCCGGGCAGAACGCCGAATCATGTAGGTTACCTCTTGCATCGATGAGTAATGGCTAATTAAAAAGATATCTGGTCGATATGACACCGCTGGCGTGCCTCGCGTTGATCTCAACTGTCAATTATTTTCACCTTCCCCAAGTAAGGTCATTTCTCTCCCGATACGTGGCGTTTAACTCGTACATAGGGATCTCGCAGGTATTCTTACTCTCTCGGAGGGACTCAGCATATGATGGCTGACATTAGTTCTAGATTCGCGGTTTCACCCTGGAATTTCATCTGCCTCATTATGTCCTCCGGCGAGAGGATGATCAACTCCGTGATGATCGACTCCTTCGGAAACACCGTCGCTTTCGCCTCTCCGGCCAGGACGCCATCTACGAGGTGCAACTGTCCCTGGTCGTTTTCGGGGTCGATGAATTCTTCTGGACTGCCTATTTTTGCGAAGACGCGTACTTCCGAGCCAGTAATCCAATCACCGAACACCTTAAGGATAAGGGAGATGGGCCGTCATCGGGGGCGCGGATGTCCAAGTTCCCTATCTGGGACCCCCGGTACTATTTCCTCTCCATTTTAGTCATTCGCATGGGACAAATTACGATGGAATGGGCGGTCTTGATGGATATTATCACCGGCCATCTTGACAAGCATGTATTTACACCTCCTCCAATACCCCTTGAAACATTGATACGTACACAATCTGAATCGCTAACCAGGATGACCTATTCCTGGAAGACGACCCGTCCTTGAGGAAAACGAAAGAATATACCTGGATTTTAGTCACCTTACGACGGCTTCGCAACCTACTAGCTCGAGTAATCGCGACGCTGGTCTCCTTCGATACAAACAATTCCGTCTACTTTGACCTTCAGGCTGAGGGAGCCCTGTACGACCGGTTCCGCGAGTGCTTCGACCAGGTACGTCAACTTACCGCTGAGTTGGCTTCTACTCGGATGATTCTAGAGCAACGTATTGAAACATTAGAAAAAATGTCGGATGTTGTATGTCAGTCCTAGTTTGCTTAACCCTTCGAGGGAAGTGTCTCTAATATGTTTCTAGCTGGTGAATGCATCGTCCTTGGCAGAAAGTATCACGGCCACCCGCCAGGGAGACAATATCCGGCTTTTGACGTATATTAGTATTGTGAGTTTCTCTACTCATTAACCGAGCGTGGCTAATGAAGCATCAGATCTATCTCCCAGTGACTCTGGTGACGGTGTGTTACGCGGTTTGATTTGCAGGTTTACACACTAAGCGACTAAAATTAGGGCATCTTCAGTATGAATCAAGTCAGCGGCGAGAATGCGTGGTGGAAATACTGGCTCTGTCTCATTTGTTTCACAGCTGGTACTATCTCCATGGCTTTCGGAGTACAAATCGTCATTTCTCGGTGGAGATATGGACGAGGCAAGCATGTCATGGATCACTTGAACGTCGTGCAGGCAGAACATACAAGATGATTGCAGGAAGAGCAAGTTGGTTCTAGTTCATACGGTTTTGGACCATCGCCACATTGACACTGAAAAGTCAGTAGCTTTCTCAAAATGAAATAGATTTTTGCTGTCTTACACAGATATACAGGTATGCCAAATGGGACATACCATATGTCGGACCTTGGCATTCCGCGCACTTCTCATGTTGACACTTCTCGCAGGTTTTTGCATTGGCGCTGTTATATGACTTGCAGTTCTCAATACACTGGGCATATATCAGTGCTGGACAATATAAAGGAGGTGAGAGGCTGCTTACACAATACCAATCCTTCCCTAACTCGACAGGAAGATGGAGAGAGAATATAGCCATTGGAAGGAAGTCCATAACCAAGTGATCTTCTGTAGGAAGAGTAAATATGTAAAGGGTTTAAAAAGAGTAGAGGGGTAGTAGTATGAGAAATGGGAGGGTTAAAAATCCTTTGTCTGAAATAGACGAGGCTAATCTTGTCAAGCATAAATAGCTGGCGATTGGTGCTTAGAGTATACAGCTGCAAGTATCAATGAGTTTTCGGTCATCAATAATGCGATATATGGCTAGCAGACGCAGGAAGTCCAGGCTATTACGTGTCATTGCGACTATGGTCGCATCACTAGGGCGGCTGCAATTTTCAGAAATAAGGCTGAGAGGTTCTCTTGGACAATCTCACATGCAATACCACGACCGGGTCGAAGGTCATTGTAGGCATCCACCCCTGGCACATAAGATAAACCAATGAAGTCAGCCCTCAGTAGCATCACGTGGATGACAACTGCACCTGGTGCCCCTGGACTATCTCAAGGCTGGATGGGGTCTAGAACGATTGGACTAGAAGCGTTATAAGACCAGAAGCCAGCTCATATGACGTTGGTCGTTCTATGCTGCACGTGCTCTCCAGTCGGCCGTACTGTGACTAATTTCCTCTCAAGAGGATTCTCCCATGAGGCGAACCATCTTGAAAGAGGTCTTCTGGTCTTGATCTTCGAAGACAACCCCGCTCTTAAAACAGTTTAGCTGGGAATGTTGTTTTGTTAACCTTTTCTCATCGAACACCCTCCAGGATTCTCTACATAGCACTATTGCACGCACAAGATCTGTATTCTATTCCACTACTAGTTCTAGTAGCTTTCTTTTGGGAGCGCCATACGTCTTAGCTGTAGGCCGCTCTTATTCCAAGCAACATAGGTCTATAGTTGTTCTAAAATGGTTCTCTCATTATCGCCTAGGCTCCCTTCCATCTTCAACTCGGTCTAAGGCTCGAGATGCCATCCATAAAAGTTCTTTCTCTTTGACCACCCGGCCCTCTTCTGCGAACTTCTTCTCCTCCTCCTTTGAAATTACGAATAACGCATTGCCACCGTCAGCGGTCGCTGCAGGGAAGCATTGATTTGGCCGCAGGCTGTGCAGGTTCCGATCGTACAATGAATGGTCTTTCCATAAATACTTGCGCGCGACTCGTTCCAGGGGTGATGGATTAGATGGATCGACCTGAAGACGGTCTGACCGTTTCCACTCTCCGCGTTCAAGTGACCAGAGCTGAATCTCAGTGTAATCCGGGGGCGATTGCTGAGCCGCCCCGGCAGATGAGGATTTTTGATTGGCGGCGATACATTCACAATTGGTCCGTTTAAGTTAGACCCCCTGCCCTGTCAGTCTTTTCATTAGATTGACAAATGCCTTCGAGATCCAGATTCTGACAGGCCAGGACTTTGCTATCACGCTCAGTGCCAGCATGCCCGAGGCTTTGGTTCCATGGTTGAGTCTTGCAGGGAGTAATTTTATTCGTTGTCGCACCCATTTATGTCCGGATGTATGTATGCAATAATGAAAAAAAAACTCTAGGCTTTAGGTGAACGCAAGTCAAATTCAATTTCATGTAAGATGGTGTACTATATGGTGCTTGCTGATGAAGAAAAAGAGGGTGATCGTGGGACAACGTCGCTAGTCCTGTTTGGGAACCACTACCCGCCCCATTTTCAACTGAGCCGACTCTGCCCAAAGCTGAGCACACCAAGAGCATAACGATAATTTGAGCACGGAGATATTTGGCGGTTGGAGGAGATAGCTGGGGCTCTACAATAGGTTCCGAGGTTTCTGGCCGGATAGAATCTACCAGCGCATCGCGGGGGGCGGTGTCTTGAGCAGGTGCAGTATCCGCAACATCCTCAGCTTCCTCTGGCAGTTCTTCCGAATACAGCGATGGTGAGTACTGATGGTCTCTTTGCTGAGGAAACTTCTCCCGCGGAGATTGTTCTAATTCGCCGAGCTCTTCATGAAGGGCGCAAGCAGCAATTGCTCTTAGCCCCGTTTCCAAAAGATTACTGGGCGCTAATTGAAAATTATCTCCCCAAAATGTTGGGTTTGGACCCCAAATTGACCCACCTAAAAGTAAGACAACTACAGTCAGATTTCGGCCAAATCGGATACAGCGACCTTGCAAACTTCTAATTCCCGATCCGATGCCGGCTTATAGAATTATCTGATCTGATAAGATCGATTTGTGCTAGATACTGCCTTGGTTCCGTGGGTATAAATACCTTGGTTTTGTCGACCGAAACCCAGCCTTTTCGTTAGACAACATTCTATCCTCTACTCCCAGCCTCAAAACTCTTCAAAATATATCCTCATTTCATCATGAAATTTCTCGGCGCTGTTACCGTTGCCATTCTTGCAGCTGTCGCAAATGCGAGCCCTGCCCCTGCTCCGGCCCCAGCAGCGAACGTTTGTGCCGTCGGTGAGTACTTCTCCAACCGGTACTAGTAGAATGCAAGAACCTAGGCTTATCATGTATACGACAGTTGGCCAAGGCTGCTCTTTTGTGAACTGTTGCAGTGGCTATCACTGCATGAACAAGAACAGCATCATGCAGTGCGTGGCGAACTAGATTATGAAGGAATTGTGTACCTTTCTGGTCATCGAGCCCGCTATGTGAATGTGAAAGGCTGTACACACTTTACTGTCCTTTATTCACAAAATCTTGTTTACTTTATTTGAGATAATGCATCTTTCATATGAAGGTTGAAGTCTAGATGTGCCACGCGTATTCATGGTGTTCTACTGGGTAAAAATAGTAAAAGTGATAAACCAGATCAAACTTTGCGACTATGTCAATAAGGTATCGCGTTGTGTGGACGCAATCATCTTTGATCGATAACATGCAAATACAAAAAACCTATTTTGGCATTTCGATACTATTGAAGTCCAAATATAAGATCTGAATTCTTGATTCTCAAACCTTGGCACCTTGTGGCCTTGAGATAGCTCTTCCTTTATCAATGATGAATGGCCAGTGTGAATTATGAATTCTATTATCCTCACAGTTGATATCAATCAGTACAATCAAACTTACTTCCCTTTATATGCTGAGCCCATCAAACCTCAATATTCTTTGATCTTTGAGTCGTATCCAAAGAAAGTCGATTTACTGGAACGCCTCTGACTGACTCAGGTGTAGTGAATTGCCGTCGGTTCGGGATATCGGATAAATCATTGACACCACTATCGGCAAGGTCCAATTGAGATGCTTCCACTATAGCAGTAAGTTTTCCGAGGACGGCGAATTCAATTTTGAGTTTGATACTGTAGATGGTGCATTTCAGGAGGACTTGAAGATAGTACAGTCCAAGGAACTCGACAACAAGAACTGCAATGTCCATGAGAATGATGAGAACATTGATCGCCAGCAGCTCATACATGATTTGTCTTCGGTGATTGCTATCCGCAGGGTTGAGTTGGAGAAGTTTGACGGTTTCTCGGATGTATAGCAAGGAGATAATGAACTCCTGTACACAGAACCAAGTCACCTGTAGCCGCTCGATGATTTTATAAGTTTTATTCCATTCGCTCGTCCGCACAAAGGCTGCTCCGAATGTTGAAATCGTTGTTGGAAAGCCGATCAGGACGGTATTCGTGACCACTGCATAGAGAACTAGTCGCAAGATACGCTGATCGTATAACACCAGGTGAAGTCGAGAATAAAGGACAACCGACTGCCCAGGAATCAGGAAATAGAACCCGATATTGGATAGTGCCAGCGCCAGCCATAGCGGACCGATAGCGAAAAAGTGTAAGAGATTACCGATCCCACTGGGTATGAGCCCAAGCACAGTGGAGAGTGAAAGTGACCAAAAGTAGAGTCCCCGGTAGCGGCGGAAAGTGAGGAAGATCAAAACGGAGAGTTCAGCCGCATTATACAAGAGTATGGCAACCAGAGCACCCATGATCACCTTGATAGCTATGCTATTGCCCTGGTAGCCACCAACAAGACCAAGCGGGCCCTGGGCCCGAGAAAGGAATTGCTCGGACATTGAAATTTTCCTGGGTTCAGTCAAGCATCGCCATACACGGCAAAGCAAAATCCTCTTGCTGACTCTCCCTGCAAAATATTCAGATGGATTTCAGAAACCGTCCTGGAATTTGGAGACCATCATCGCTGTTTTTACACGACACCAGGTGCGTTGAATTTCACGAATATCAGTTTCGGTCGATCTTTCTTGCCCGAGAGTCGTTCCTGTGCGTATTCATCCTCCTCGTAAACACTAGCGACCTGTGCCTAATAGATAGGCGCTTCTTGAACGGGAAAAGGTGGTGGTGAGGGAGGACTGGGAGACAGGGGTCGGAGGTAATCTTCCAATATTGAGATCTCGGAGGAGATTCAAATCGCACACGCGGCTCAGAGGCATGAAGACTTGCGCGAGCGGCGAAATTGCGGGGTTTCGTCAGTGGTGGCTGCAGGTTTTCCTGGAAAACCTTCTCCCGAACGCAATTTTGGTTCGCAAAGTCTGGATGCGGGGATGTGGGGATGCACCCCAAGCAAAATTCATCATTATAATAGGCGCAGGGCTATTCTCTGGGGACTCTCTGGCTAAGTCAATCATTTTAGCTTTCTGAACTTGGCGGTGATGGGGCGATTTGGGATTTTGAAGCCTCAGGCAAGAGGCTTCGAGATACGGCCCAATGCGCCACCCACAGGCAAGAAATAAGACTGTAA